TTCGTCTATCTATCTATCTATCATCTATCTATCTATCTATCTATCTATCTATCTATCTATCTATCTATCTATCATCTGTCCATCCATCCATCCATCCATCCATCCATCCATTCATCCGTCTGTCCATCCCTCAGTTTGTGTAAAAAGGCAGTCTTATAGATGGGGTGGTGCAAAGACGTTACAGACAATGATCAGATTCAAGGTGTGGCTTCAGTGGGAAACCTTTTAAAAACAATCGAGAATTCTTCAGAAGGTACGCTGAGACTTGTCTGGGCAGGGTTGACTGGATGAGAAGAATCCATTAAGAGAACCCTATTTTGAAAGACAAGGCAGGAACAAGCTTTGCAAAGAAGACTGGCTTTACTGTCATTTTGTTTACCTTTATTTAAAATCGGTTTTATTACCACTGGAATACTTTTTTTAAAAAGCACCAAGAAGGGCAAGAAAATGAGGAAGTAAGGACAAAGGAACGAAAGCCCAGAAAAACCAGCAAGGGTTGAATTCCTCTGAGGAGACAGGAAGGAGCTATAAAATAAATTCTATCCTTTTCCGATTTGGGAAAGGTTTTCTTTCCTCCATGGCTGCCCCAACAGGCATAGAATGTTTTGCTGAGGATCTGAGCTGTTCTATTTGCCTGGAGCTGTTTTCAGATCCTGTCATACTGGAATGCGGGCACAACTATTGCCAGGTCTGTATCACACGGTTCTGGGCTGAGATCCCTAACAACCATGAGGAGAACATGCCCCCAACACTTCCTACTTGTCCAGAGTGTCGGCGTGAGATTCCCGGTGGCAAATATACACCTAACAGGGTGCTGGGACAATTGGCTGGCAAAGCCCAGGAATCTCTTTTGGTTCAGCCTGGTGGTGAGGAGACTAACCATGATGAAGATGACGAGGAGATCCAGGGTGACAAGCTGTTTTGTACTGAAGATGGGTGCCTGGTGAGAGCTTTGCAACCAGACCACTGGGGTCATCAGTGTCTCCCTCTAGCTGAAGCTGTAGAGCACTTCAAGGTCAGTAGAAGGGGCTTGTGGACTCAGTGACTAGGAAGAGGGGTCCACAACAGATGTTCTTGAGGTTGCTGATGGAAAATGAGAAGATATTAAGAGTTGTTAACCTAATCGTACGTAGCTTTTTCTCTGGTAATATTACACTACTAACTAGAGTATGCAAAATAAAGAAGGGGACTCTGGAAACTTGCTTGTTTTATTCATGTGCATTCAGAATATTATAATTAGTCCTAATAGAACTGTGCTATGGTAAGCTATAGATACCTATTTGAGCTTTTCCCATCCTTTTTTGTATACAACTGTTAACTCACAAAGCAGGTATAACGAGAAGAGGATGAGTCTTCCACACTACCTTTGTATATGTCAGGGATTTTTTTTAAAAAAAAACACACACTAATCATTTGTAGCACAACTGAGAATTACTTAACAGTAGATTGAAATATTGCAATTTGTGTTGGGTTCGGTCCAGTGATCGGTTTATTAATACGCTTCTCACATGCCCCTGCCAACTGATTGCTCATACTTTTCCTTCGGTTTAAAAAAACAATTATTCACAAACTTTGAGCTCCAGTTGCACAACTCCGGACAAACAATCCATACTGGATGTGATTTTGTTTCAGTCCCTTGGTACATTCTTCACCATGTAAGCTAACCTTTGGCCACCACACCCAGCACTGACTGTGCTTTGCTCATCTGTGGGAAATCCACATTTGCTTTATTCACCTCTTCTCCTTTGCTGCATATTGAACATTAAGTGGGAACTTACTACATGTTGGATTATTATTATTTAAATAATCACAAGAAAAACTCTTCTAAACCCTGAAAAGAAGCCAGAAAAAAGGCAGGTGCCACATCAGCTGGTTAGATACAGATAATCAGATTTGGTAGGGACCTTGTAGGTCATCTAGTCCAACCCCACACCCAAGCGGAAGACCCTACACCATTTCTGACAAATGGCTGTCCAATCTCTTCTTGAAAGTCTCAAGTGATGGCGCTCCCACAACTTCCGAGGGCAACTTCTGTTCCATTGGGTGATTGTTCTCACTCTCAGAAAAATTCTCCTTATTTCCAGGTTAAATCTCTCCTTATTCAGTTTCCATCCATTATTCCTTGTCTGGCTTTCAGGTGCTTTGGAAAATAGCTTGACCCCTTTCCTTTCTGTGGCAGCCCTGTAAATATTGGAACACTGCTATCATGTCTCCCCTGGTCCTTCTCTTCATATTTGAAAGATCTTTTTTTTTTTTGAAAGATGAGTTCTGAGTGTCCATCCAGATACCACATATATCATCTCTAACATAGTTGAAAAATGAGCAAAATATTCTAGGCTCAAACATTTTTCCTGGCCAGCTTCAGGTTGACTCAGCCTTCCTTCCTTCTGAGGTTGGTATAATGAGGTTCCAGATTGTTGGAACCAAGATGCTGACTCTTAGAGAGGGCTGTAAAGCATGATAGCAGAATTCCAGTATTTGAGGGGCTGCCACAAAAAAAAAAAGTGGGGGGGTGTCAAGTTATTTTCCAGAGCACCAGAAGACAAGACAAGGAACAATGGATGGAAACTAACCAAGGAGATAAGGAACCTGGAATTAAGGAAGAACTCCCTAACAGGGAGAACAATTAACTAGTGGAACAGCTTGCCACTAGAAGTTGTGGATGCTACATCACTGGAGGTTGTTAAAGAACAGATTGGACAGCCACTTTTCTGAAATGGTATAGGCCAGTGTCTCCTGCTTGAGCAGGGAGCCAAACTAGAAGACCCCCAAAGTATATAAGTCTAAGTGCTAACGCTATTGTCTTGGGGTAAACTGCCCAAATGAAAGCATGTGTGTTTCCAATTTTGCAAACTGTATGCAGAATGAAATGGAATTATTTTGTCCTGTGTGTGAATACATGAATGCAAGAGGGTTATTTTTTCCAATATGCAGGTATTCCTTGACCTACTGCCAATTGTTTAATGGCTAGTTAAAGTTACAACAGCACTATAAAAAGGTGACATGTGATTTTGTTTCAGTCCCTTGGTACATTCTTCACCATGTAAGCTAACCTTTGGCCACCACACTCAGCACCGACTGTGCTTTGCTCATCTGTGGGAGATTTTTCACACTTACCATTTTTCACACTTACGACCATTGCAGCATCCCCGTGGTTATGGGGTCAAAGTCAGACACTTGGCAACTGACTCATGATGGTTGCAGTGTTCCTGGAGTCCTGTGATCATCTTTTGTGACCTTCTGACAAGCAAAGTCAATGGGGAAGCCACTTAACAACCATGTTACTAACTTAACAACCGTAATGATTCACTTAACAACTGTGGCAAGAAAGTCATAAAATAGGAGAAAGTTCAGTGAACAAGCAACTTAGCAACAGAAATTTTGGGCTCTATTGTGGTTGTAAGCGGAAGACTATCTATAGTGTCCAAGGTGGAGAGTCCCTATAAGATCTGGACTCCAGTGCAAATTATGTTTCTACTTTGATGATGGCAGTTTGTTTTTTCTGACATCTGTTTTCATTAACCTCAGATGAACAATAACTGTGAACGAGTTACTGTAATCTGGTTCTATCTTGTGATATCTCTGCTTGCCTTCAGGGGATCTTAACAGCATCTCAAACCCAGCTGGAATCCAAAATCCAAGCAGAAAGATCCATTGAAGAGCAGAAGTCCCAGAAACTTCCAGAAATAACAGTAAGTCGAATCTTCCATGCTGCTGAATCTATTGAGCGAATTTTTGACATGCTCAGTCATCAGTGGTGTTTTAGAAGGCAAATGAAACTAATGGTAGAGATAATGCACTGGTGCCAAATTAATCTTTTAATGTTATGCAGATATAGAGTTGAGCGGTGTGGTGGCCTAGTGGTGAAGATGCTCACCTCCCACTTGGAAGGTTGAGAGTTTCATTCTAGGTAGCTGCAGACCTTCCTCTCCTAGGGCACAAAGAGAAAATATATTCTGCAAATTCCACGTGGTGTGAGGAAGGGCATCTGGCCAGTAAATGCTCAATTCAATCTAGTAGTTGGCCTACCCTGAATTAAGGGATTATAGGGTCATAAATAGGGAATATATATATAGAGAGAGAGATCATACAGTCAAAATCAGTATAGGCTGGGAAATTCTGGGAATTGCAGTCCACACATCTCAAAATTGCCCAGTTTGGGAAATACAATTTTAAATTATCAATAAAATCAGTCCATAAATGAGATAGAGGTGAATGGATAGATAGATAGATAGACAGACAGACAGATAGATGGATTGGTAGATAGGTAGGTAGGTAGATAGCTAGCTAGATAATAGACAGATAGATAGATAGAGAGATAGGTAGATAGGTAGATACTAGTAGGTAGGTTGATGGATGGATGAATGAATGAATGGAGAGATACACATGATTGAGGCTGGTTAGTGTCTGATGGGGGACCATTAAAACTATCAGATTAGACAGAAAAGTTATAAAGAACCCTAACAGCAGGTTTTAAAAAATCCAAATAAATGTCACAGACAGTTCCATGTGATTGGAAACAGAGCTTGACTAGTCGGAGACTTGACCTTATTTTCCACTAAACTACACCACAGGGCAACTCGAAGGGGCCTTCTTGATAAACAGTAGTTTCTAAAAGCAGGCATGGTGGGAATCTCATGCCTTCCTCTTCCTTCTCCTCCTGAGGCCCAACGGTTGTGTCTGGAGCAAAATGTCTCTGCCCAGTTCACGGAGCTCCATCAGTGGCTTCAGGAGAAGGAATCTGCATTGATCAGAGAGATCCAGAGAGAGGAGAAGCTGCTGCTTAGTGAACTGGACAGGAACCAAAGAAACAGCCAAGAGCAGATCCGCACAGCCAACGAGCAAATAGCTAAGATCCAGGCTCGGCTTGCAATGGCACCGGACTCTGATAGCTTCCTTAAGGTCAGTGCATTTCTCAAGCCATACCTGCATTTTTCTGTCTAGGTGTGTATGTGTCTTTCTCTTACAGGTAGGGCTCAACTTATGACCGTTCGTTTAGCAATAGCAATAGCCCTTAGACTTATACACCGCTTCACAGAGCTTTACAGCCCTCTCTAAGCAGTTTACAGAGTCAGCCTCTTGCCCCCAACAATCTGGGCCCTCATTTTACCCACCTTGGAAGGATGGAAAGCTGAGTCAACCTTGAGTTGGTCAGGATCAAACTCCTGGCAGTGGGCAGAGTTAGCAATAGTACTTTGTTGTGGAGCGATGGTAAGGAAGAGGCATGAGACCAGAGCGTACAACTAACAAGGCTTTATTGCGGGGAATAAAGGGTTGTCGCGTCTGCTTGCTAACTTGCAGACTAGCGGGCGACAACGGGCTGGCTCTGCCCAACAGCCGGCTTATATAGCCGACTGTCAAACGGAGCCAACCAATGGGAGCGGCTGGTGCTCCCGCTCAAACGGCGGACCTGGTTGGGAACCCCCACCAGTTCCACGGATATAACACTCCTTTCCCCCAGCTGGGAACACGCGTAGTCCTGCAGGTAAGCCGGCTGTCTCCGCTGGCGACCAGAGCGTCGCAGTTCGGGTGGACTGTTGGCTGGTGACAAGTACAGGCCTTCGGGATGTGCCTCGACGGTCGTCGGGGCATGGGCTTGCCCTGGCGCGGTGTCTTGTGAAGTCGGCGAGTCCCTTTGCTCGGGCTGACCCGAATGAGTCTCGTGGTCCGGTTGGCAAACTGGAACGCTCGGCTGCTGAGTCGGTGACCCTGGCCGGAAACTCGGGTTCTCCAGGAGACCTTCCTGTTCATCGGGGAAAACCGGGTCCCACAGGGAGCTTCCGTCTGGCACCGGCAGGGAGACGTTGGCGCTGGCCGGTCGGGTTGGGTTGGTATCAGTCGCACGCCGCCTTCTGAGTTGGTCCACGTGCCTTTGCCACAAGCGTCCATCTTCCAGGAGGACCCTGTAGGACCTTGGACCTGTGACTGACACGATTTGACCTGGTACCCACAAAGGATCCCCTGCATAGTTCCTGGCGTACACCAGGTCTTGCAAGGCAAAGTCTCTGACCAGACTGTCAGACCCTAAAGGGGTGTCTGGGCAGTAGTGGGGGTGTAGCCTGTCCAGGGTGGTTCTAAGGCGTCTCCCCATTAACAGTTCGGCGGGAGATTTGTTAGTGGTGGTGCAGGGTGTCGTATGTTGGCTAAGCAGGAAACGAGACAGTTTAGAGTGCCAGTCTACCTGGCCAAACCTGGCGAGTGCCTCCTTGGCTGACCTTACCGCTCTCTCTGCCATCCCGTTGCTAGCAGGGTGAAAGGGAGCTGTAAGGACATGTCTGATGCCCAAATTAGCCACGTACATACTGAACTCACATGACGTGAACTGCGGGCCATTGTCAGACACCAGCGTGTCTGGAAGTCCATGGGTGACAAACAAACGTGTCAGGGCTTTGACTACTGCTTGGGTGGTGGTCGTGGGAAGCAAGGCCACGTCAATCCACTTGGAGTAGGAATCCACGACCACCAAGAAAGTCTTGCCATGCACTGGTCCAGCCAGGTCGATGTGCAGGCGAGACCAAGGGGCACTAGCACTTTCCCACCTGGTGGGCGTGGCGGCAGGCGGGGCAGCCCTGGTTTCTTGGCAGGGTTGGCAAGAGCTTACCCAGTTGGCGATTTGAGCATCCATGCCGGGCCACCAAACGTAGCTGCGGGCCAACGCCTTCATCCTTACGATGCCCGGATGGCCCTCGTGAAGCACCTTCAGGATGGGTACTCGAAGGGTGGCTGGGATGACTACTCTTGTGCCCCACAATAGACATCCCTGTAGCCTCGACAGTTCTTGCTGGCGGGTTTTAAAGGGAACAAAGTCAACTGTACATTGAGTTTCCGGCCACCCCCTTCCCACCCAGTCCAGAACCTGGGCGATTATTTTGTCTTTTTTGGAGTGTGCCGCGATGTCTTCGGCTGTCACTGGAAGTTTGAGTTCGTTGACCTCAAAGATGGCATGAATTGGTGCAGGGTCCTCGACTGGGACTGGCAGGGGGCAGCGACTGAGGGCATCGGCATGACTCAAGTTCTTGCCAGGACGATGCACCAACTTGAATGAGTAGGCGGCCAGAAACAAAGTCCATCTGGTCATTCTGGGTGAAAGTACCTGCGGGGTTTGCTTATCTCCAGATAAAAGTCCTAGGAGAGGTTTATGGTCAGTCACAAGTTCAAAATGGTGGCCAAACAAGAATTCGTGGAACTTCTTAACTGCAGCAACCGCAGCCAGGGCCTCTTTATCGATTTGGCTGTAGTTCCTTTCTGCCGAGGAGAAGGTCCTAGAAAAGAAGGCAATTGGTGCCTCGGAACCGTTGGGGAGTCTGTGGCTTAGGACAGCCCCAATCCCAAAAGGGGATGCGTCAGCAGCCAGGACCAGAGGAAGGCGTTGATCGAACTGGACTAAAACCGCTTCCGATGTGAATAATGATTTAACTGATCTGAAAGCGTGGGCTTCCTTGGGTCCCCAATGCCAGGGTGAGTCTTTATCTAAGAGTCTATGTAGGGGTTCAGCGACTGATGCTTTGTGCGGGAGGATTGAGGCGTAAAAGTTTAGAAGCCCCAGAAAGGCTTGTAGTTCAGTCTCTCTCAAACAGCGGACCTGGTTGGGAACCCCCACCAGTTCCACGGACATAACAACTTAGACTTATATACCACTTTATAGTGCTTTACAACTCTCTCTACAGTGCTTTACAATCCTCTTTAAGAGTCAGCATATCGCCCCCAACTATCTGGGTCCTCATTTTACTGACTTCAGAAGGATGGAAAGCTGAGTCAACCTTGAGCCTGGTGGGATTCAAACTGCCAAACTGCAGTCAGACGGCAGTCAGCCTGCAGTACTGCACTCTAATCACTGTGCCACAGAGGCTCCTAGCAACTGTTCAAAGTTACAATAATGCTGAAAAAATAACTTACCATTTGGTCCTCACAATTACAACGGTTGCAGCAACCTTGCAGTCACAGGAATGCTATTTGGTCCCTTGCCAACCAGCTGCCATTTATAATTATTGCAGTATCCCAGAGACATGTGATTGCCAATTGCCGTCTTCCCAGCCAGCTTCAGACAAGTAAAGCCAATGCGGGAAAGTTGCAACTTTCTCTGCAAATCATGCAGACCCAAACTGGATCTGTTGGAAAGAGTTGATACCACAGAAACACGAATAACATTCCTTGACACCATAGTAGCATCCCTGGACTCTTTAAAAGAAAGTTTATCCAACCTTGAAAAAAAAGACATAACGCAAAAACTTGAAAATCCAATAGCTACAAACCACATCTCTACCCAACAACCACAACCCAATCCACAACCCAATTCACAAAAAACATAAATCAGACAAATAATGATATCCCAATCCTCATCAGAGAAGCTGCTGAGCATGAACGGAAATGTCCAAATGCCATCTTATTTGGTCTAGAGGACATCAATGACAATGAGGACATCACAACTGTCTGAAACATAATCAGTGATTATCAAGCATCAACGATCTCCCCTGATGAAATACTTGACATTTCCTGCATTGGCCGAGAGCTCAAAAACAGAAATGGCTCTGTGGCCCCACGCTTCTGCAGGGTCATTTGCAAAAATGAATCAAGCAAATGTAAATTCATTTATACTATAAATTCACTTGCCAAAAACAACACCAACCTCCGTTCTCGCCCTGACCTAACCATACAGCAATGTGCCCGCTCCCGTGTACTCCGCACTGAACTCAAAAAATGTCTAGACAATGGAGAAAAGGACCTGGACATTGACTACCATGCTGACTGTATCAAAAGTAAGTCACACAAACTGCAACTCAGCTTTAACATTCAATCACAACCCTACCTCAACCAATCCACCATCACCCAAGACTAGGCATGCACGCCCCTAACTACCTCAATTCCAACTATTCCTGGCCTTAAATGCAAGCTGCTCAATGCAAGAAGCCTTGTGAATAAAATACCTGAATTTCTCTAACTAAATATGGCTAAATTCGACATCATATCTGCCTGTAAAACATGGCTCAATGCATCTCTCCCTGACTCCATTACCACAGTAGGAGACTATCATGTTTACTGATCAGATCATAAAATTCATAGAGGAAGTGGTGTTGCTATCTTCTATAAAAAGTCCTTACATCTAAAAAACATCCAAGTTACCCAGGAGCTTGCTCTTCCTAAGACCATCATCTGTGAACTGTCCTTAAATATCACATTTCGATTCTTACTATGTTACAGAACACCTGATTATGACATCAAACATGTAAACAAGCTAAATTCACTACTAACATGGGCAACATCCTGCCCACATGCTTTTATCTTTCTTGGTGACTTCAATCTACCTCATATTGACTGGACCCTAAACGAATGTACAATTGAACCCATACATGCAATCTTCTACAATGCTGTAACAAACCTGGGACTGGAACAACTAATAACCAACAATACTAGACTAAACAACTGCCTCGATCTCATCTTCTGCAATAGTTTGAATTTAATTTACAGAATGCAAACTAAATAACCCTTTTCCAATAGTGACCACAATATGATTGACTTTTGTCTCAACATACGTCCACACAAAAATAATCACAATGTTGTAATCCCCAATTATAATTTCAAAAAAGGCAACTATGATCTTATAGACAACGATCTCTCATCCCTTGATTGGCAATCTCTATTCACTGGATACAATACTGTTGAAGTCCATTACAACATATTTTTACTTGGAGTCAAAAGAGTCATCAAACTATATGTACCAACAACAACTCCCAAAACAACAACAACAACAAAAACAGATTACCCATAACAATAAGGAAACTTCAATCCAAAAAGAGATCACTCTGGTGGAAAAACAAATCTGGTCACGTTGCCAATTTCAAAAGCCGATACAAAAATTTATTCCACCAGATAAAGACTGAATGTACCAATTATCACATTAAACAAGAGGAAAACCTTTCATGCACCAATTCCACCTGGACTTTTTACAATTTTGTAAACAACAACTAAAAGACTCAAGGTCCATCCCATCCCTGATAGGACCTAATGGTAAAGACTGCAATGACGACACCATTAAAGCCAACATCTTTAACACATTCTTCGGCTCAGTATTTGTAAACAGCAATGGATCATGCCCAGTATTTCCTAGCCGAACCACAGAAATCTACAATGATCTAATACATATCAATTTTACAGAAGACAATGTTGAAAAAGCACTATGCAATCTAAAGCCATCTCTATCTATTGGACCGGATGGAATATATGCCTACTTTTTAAAAAAGCTATCTACTGCCATAGCAGAACCTCTGAGCGTAATCTTTGAAAAATCCTTCAGGACCAGTTCCTTGCCTAACCTATGGTCACAAACCACAATCATCCCCATCTTCAAAAAGGGAGACCCCAGCCTAGTTGAAAATTACAGATCAATCTCCTTATGCTGCGTCACCTGTAAAGTCATGGAATCAATTATTAACCAATCTATTATCCTCCACTTAGAGACAAACAACATACTCTTCAATAAAAAATTTGGTTTCAGAAAAAAACTATCCTGTAATCTGCAACCCTTACACTGCAAAAACATATGGACTACACAACTCGATTAGGGCAAAACAATAGACACAATCTACATAGACTTCTGTAAAGCCTTTGATTCAGTGGTACACAACAAACTATTCCTCAAACTAAAATCTTATGGTATCTCTGGACACCTGCATAACTGGATAGAAGCATTCCTGTCAAACAGACAACAAATGGTCAAAATTGGGAGCGTCCTATCAAAGTCTGTACCTGTCAATAGTGGTGTCCCCCAAGGCAGTGTTCTAGGACCAACTCTCTTCATACTCTACATAAATGACCTCTGTGATCATATTAAGAGCAACTGCGTTCTCTTCGCTGATGATGTAAAGCTGTTCAATACCACAGACAATACTGCTACCCTTCAAAAAGATCTTGACTATGTATCAGAATGGTCAAACAAATGGCAACTTCAAATCTCAACAAATAAATGCTCTGTCTTACATATTGGCAAAAATAAATAAATCAGAAAATAAAATACAAGCTGAATAGTCAAGACCTTGTTGATATCAAGCTCTGTCAAGGACCTTGGAGTTCTCATCTCTAATGTTCTAAGTGCTAGAGCCCACTGTAACTACATAGCCAAAAAGGCATTAAGAGTTGTTAACCTAATCCTACATAGCTTTTTCTCTGGTAATATCACACTACTAACTAGAGCATACAAACATTTGCTAGACCAATACCTGAATACAGCTCATCAGTCTGGAACCCACATTACGTATCTGATATTAGCACAGTTGAGAAAGTCCAGAAATATTTCACAAGAACAGTTCCCCACTCCTCTACTCATTGTAGAATACCTTATGCCACCAGACTTGAAATTCTAGACCTAGAAAACCTTGAATTACGCTGTCTTTGGTCTGATCTAAGTATGGTATATAAAATCATACATTGCAATGACTTACCTGTCAATGAATACTTCAGCTTCAACCATAACAATACAAGAGCACACAATAGATACAAACTCAAGGTTAACCGCACCAAACTTGATTGCAGGAAATACGACTTCAGCAATAGAGTGGTCAATGTCTGGAATACTCTACCTGGCTCTGTGGTTTCTTCCCCAAACCCCAAAAACTTTAACCTTAGACTGTCTACTATTGACCTCACCCCTTTCCTAAGAGATCTGTAGGGGGCGTGCATAAGCACGCCAACATGCCTACTGTCCCTGTCCTATTGTTTCTTTTATTTTTCTTATATGTACCCATTTCATGTATTCATAACTATGTATATACTTACACCTATTATTTTGTAAGCGATTGACAAATCAAATAAATAAAAAAATAAAAAAAAACTTGTGGTCACATGATGTCTCACTTAATGACCAGGAGGGGGAAAAAGTTATGCAATTGGGTGTGGCCACATGATGCCACACTTAGTGTTCACATCACTTAATGAATTTTACAGTTCTAATTATGTCATTGGTGACACAGTACTGCAAGCTACTTCTGCTGACTGCTGGCTGCCAGCAGTTCAGCAGTTCGATCTTCACCAGCTCAAAGGTTGATTCAGCCTTCCGTCCTTCTGAGGTCAGTAAGATGAGGACCCTGATTGTTGTAGGGAATACGTTGATTCTGCAAAACTGCTTAGAGAGGGCTGTAAAGCACTGTGAAGCGATATATAAGCCTAAGTGCTATTGCTATAAGTCAAGGACTACCTGTCTATCTCCACTATTCAAGATGACATGCAGGTTTTCTTGTATCTAACTCAAGCCTTTCTGGTTTTGCAACCAGGCTACTGTCACAATGCATTTATCAGCAGGGGCAACCTTTAAGCCAACTTAGTATTTCCTTTCCAAATAATCTACCTGGGCATTAGGAAGTTGCCATCTAACCAAGTCTCCCTCAGTTGTGTGGTCTTCCTGTCAAATAGGATATTTACTCTCCACTAATCTATCTTCAAACACTTCAAAAGCTGTTACAGGGAAGAGGGTATGGATTCATTCTCCCTAGGTGCCAAGGGTAGAAGAACCAGTGGGTGGAAGCTTTACAGTATATGGAAACAACCAAACTCAAAATAAGGAGAACATTTCCTCACCATAAGAGCACTTAACGGTTGTCCTTTGGAGTTGTGGAGCTCCATCATTGCAGGTTTGCAAGCAATGGTTGGACAAACATTAATCGAGGATGGTTTAGGAATTCCTACTCTGGCTAGAGGAGTTGGACTAGAAGATCTTCAAGAGCCCTATGATTTCATGATTCAATGGGAAAGATGGTGGCATTCCTCTTTCTTCCATTAGATGAATTCTGGTGGAACCAGTTTAAAGTAATGGGCTAAAGAATACAAGAAACTATTTTTAACAGCTGGCCTTTCTCTGATCATTCTTACTATTTTCTTCCACAGGATATCAAAGCCTTCATAGAAAAGTGAGTATCTCTTCTCGATGAACCAATGTCTTGCTGTTCTGTTGGTCCTTTATAAATTGGGTTGAGGCCTTCTGTTGAGCTACTTTAATTTGGCTTATCTATAATAACTACTATAAAGTCACTGTCCTCTGTACTTTGTCTGTCTTGGGGCTTTCCCCCAGTTGTGAGCTGAAGTGCTCTGTGCTCTTCCTTGAATCAGTAGAATATATCAGCATGACACTGGCTGTTTTCATTACTAATTCCTGCTGCCTCTGATTCCAGATTCAAGGATCTGCCCAAAAATATTAATTGTGAACAAATCTCGGAGCATCCTTGCAAGATGTTATGAGGATAAAATGACTGCTCAGCAGAGCAAGTCTGATGTAGAGGTTAAGGCACCAGATTATAAAATTGGAGACTGTGAAGATAGGTGGCAAATAAATTTAACAAATTAATAAATTCTAGTCCTAGTTAGGCACAAAGTAGCTGGGTCCTTGGCCAGTCACTCGCTCTCAGCCCTAGGAAAGAGGCAAAGGCAAACAACTTCTTAAACCTTGTCAGGAAAATTGCAGTGACCTATACAGTCAGTTGCCAGAAGTCAATGTTGACTTGAAAGCACAAAATACTACTACTACTACTACCCAACAACAACAACAACAACAATGTGTCATTTGGAACAAAACACACCAGATATCATAGTTGTTGAAAATTGAAGTGTACAATTTATTGATATTGCTTACTAGGAGACGACAGAGTCAAAGAAAAAGAACTGGAAAAAAATCATAAGATATTGCAACCTCGAAATTATGTGATTATGGATGAAACATGTAACAGTGATACACATTGTCATCAGGGCACTAGATACCATGTCCAAGAATTTTACAAAATAGTTAAGTAATTGCAGCTTCCTGCAATAATACCAGCAGAACTGCAAAAAACTGTGCTACTCAGAACATACTTAGATATGACATACTTGGATACTTAGGATGCTGGCAGCAACCTATTATTAACCATCAATGCCAATCAATGATATTTGTTATACATTTTAAAATATTCAGTTGACTGAGCTTCATGTTTAATGAATTAACAACAACAACAATACTAATAATAGTACTAATAAAATTTCTTCGGTGCATCATTTTAAATGGAAGGAAAGGTAATATTGAAAGCCTCAGAAATTCCCAGATATAGCCACCAGATGGTGATCAAGATCAAGCCATGGCATTGCACAAACTTGTTGATTTTTCTGTCTTTGCAGATACTGTCCCGGTGAAGACAAGGCAAGTCCGTTGCCTGTGATTTCTCGTGACTTCAATTTAGGTCAATTTAAAGGGCCTATTCAGTACATGGTCTGGAGAGAGATGTTGCTGGCCTTAAGACCTTGTGAGTATCATGGGGGAACAGCATTGATACTGTGTTTCCCCCAAAATAAGACCCTGTCTTATTTTAATTTTTTCTGCCATCAAAAATGGCACCAGGTCTTATTTTGGGGGGATGTCTACTGACGAACCTCACTTGTGCGCCTCACCCGCAGCCTCCTTTTCATTGTCAGAGGCCTTCAGGAACTTCTTCTGTGGCCATCAAGTCTTTCCTGAAAGCCTCTTCAGCCGATAACAGAGCTTTGGATCTGTGGTTAGAGTATTAAGTTAAGCTGCAGCCTTGTCTGAAACGGGTCTCTCCCGATATTGTGGATTACAACTCCCATCAACTGCAGATAACGGGTTGGTTCCCAGGCTGATAAAAGATTCAGGAAGCTGTTACGAAAATAGACAGATGCAAGCCTCTCTATTGTCATTGAAAGGGCACACCTCTTTTCCAGAACATAGGAAATCTGTTAGAAAAGAAATTAAAAACAAAACAAAACCTTTCATCCTTAGTGTACACCCTGGATCTAAACAGTTCAGTAGCTGAAATGGTTGCAAAGCCAATTCTTTTCAATTCAAAACATGCTGCTCAGATGAACTCTGAAAAAATTGTGGCTGCAAAGAATTGTGATAAGCAGCTGCCAAGGAGCATAACATTGTGCTTAATGTTTATGGATGATGGGAATACTAGTGCCCAACCCATGGGTGGAAGCAGGTTGAGGATGTCAGGCTCAAAAACTGACCTTCATCCTGGTGCCATCTTTTGCTTTAATTTATTTCACATAATTGGGAGGAAAAAGGTAAAAATTGCATGGGAATGAGTGAGGTATAACTCATCGCAGCTCTTTGGAAGGAAGATCCCACCTTCCTTCCCTCTTCAGAATTTGTTTCCATCTTTATGGAAGAGGATTGTAGCATTGATTAACTTTCAGACTTACCTCAAAGTTGAACTTACTAGGTTCAAGTGTTTGTGCTTTGCCACAAAAGCTTTTACGAACTGGCTGGTGGTTTGTAGAACATTCAGCCATGAGGTGGTTATATCGTCATAGGAAATGGTACCAGAAAGGTATGATAGCAGTGTCCCAATATTTGAGGGGCTGCCACAGAGAGGAGGGAGGAGGAGGGAGTCAACTATTTTCCAAAGCAAGGAATAATGGATGGAAGCTGATCAAGGAGAGATTCAGCCTAGAAATAAGGACAAATTTTCCGACAGTGAGAACAATCAGCCAATGGAACAGAAGTTGCCTTCAGAAGTTGTGGGAGCTTCATCAGTGGAGGTTTTCAAGTAGAGACTGGACTGGCATCTGTCAGAAATGGTGTAGGGTCTCCTGCTTGGGAAGGGGGATTGGACTAGATGACCTATAAGGTCCCGTCCAACTCTGTTATATATTCCCAGGGAGTTGACTAGAAGACCTTTGAAGCCTCTTCCGACTCTGTATTCCATATAAAATATTTTTTAAAATGATATTTGTTTTACTTATTCTGCCAGACTTTTGTTGAAGGTTATTCTTTTGTTCCTTTGCAAGTGTTTGGCTTCTTCTTGGACACCATCACTAAATAATCATTTCAAGGGGAGAATCATGCAGGAAGGCATCACCTTGTAGAACTTGGAGAAGATACCATCAGGGAATTTGGGTACCATACTATACCATAGCAGCTCATCAATTAGAAAGCTGAAAAAATCATGTGTGTGTCTAGAGACATACCAACTACTAAAGTTAAGGTAGTCCTTGACTTATGACCACTAATGAGCCCCAAATTTCTTTTGCTAAGTGAGTTTTGCTCCATTCTACTTGCTGCAGTTTTTAAGTGAATCACTGTAGTTGTTAAATTAATACAATGTTGTTAAGTGAATCTAGTTTCCCCATTGACTTTGCTTGCCAGAAGGTCGTCAAAAGTGATCACATAATCCCAGGACATGGCAACTGTCATAAGTATGAACCGGTTGCCAAGCACCTCAATTTTGATCACATGATTACGAGGATGCTGCAGCGGTTTTAAGTGTGAAAAATGATCATAGTTTACCTTATTCAGTGCTGTTGTAACTTTGAATGGTCACTAAACAAATGGTTATAAGTTGAGGACTACTTATAGTTACCAAATTAGAACTCTGGGGGTGGAAGCAATAGATTTCAAATTTATTGAAAATTGTCTAGATTTTAGGAGGACTATAACAGGAGTTCTTGGTTGGCATTGCTGGAAACTGATGTGAATTTGAATTGTCTACTTGGCATAGACTTTGAAGTTTTTTGTTTTACATCTTCTTAGGGGGAATGTTTCCAAAGTTGTCAAATAGAGATAACTCTCTTATTGTTCTCCCCCCAAACAGTCCCTTTTCCTATAACCTTGGATCCTGCCACCAACCATCCTAACCTTGTGCTCTCCAAGGATCTTGACACAGTACGCTTGGAAGATAATCCTGAAGAAGTGGTCCCGGATGGTCCAGAAAGATTTAGCAAGACTGTATGTGTGCTGGGTGCTGAGGGCTTTACTTCAGGATGCCATTATTGGGAAGTAGAAGTTGGAAATAAAACCAGCTGGGATATTGGGGTGGCCAAGGAGTCGGTGAACAGGAAGGAGGCCAAAGTGACTGTCAAGCCCAGCAATGGTTTTTGGGCCATTTGGCTAAGGAATGGCAGTGAATACAAGGCCCTTGACTCTCCCTCCAAGCAGTTGTTCCTCAAGATCAAGCCTCAGAAAATAGGGGTCTATTTGGATTATGAAGGAGGACAAGTCTCTTTTTATGATGCTGACACCATGAACCACATCTACACCTTTATGGATGCCTTCTCCGAGTGCCTGTATCCCATGTTTAGCCCCGGGGTCAACAAAGATGGCCTGAACGGTGCACCTCTTTGCCTTCTGTGCCCACGGATCTAGCAAGGACTAATGTAAGAGTTATTGGGCTCTGTGTTGACTTTTATTTCAGTTGTGAATAGTCTGAAAATGCCTAACATGCCACACGGTTGAAACTTGGTGGAACTGAGCCTATTCATGGGACCACATGAAAGTTGGCTTGAACTTTTCTATATATAGGGAAAAAAAAACATTTTAGAAATGACAATGTTACATCTTACACCACCCAGAGTCCTTCTTTGAAGGAGATCGGAGGTTCAGAAATGTGAAATATAAATAAATAAAAATTCCCACAAATTCAAACACAATCAATCAGCAGGTTTTGAGGGGCTCTGTAGAAAGTTTTGAGATTAGGTCTACTTATAATGGATGTTCTTCTGCAGACTAGCTTTCTTAACCTTTGACTCTACCGGTGGTCTGCAAACTCAGCAACTTTAAGACTTGTGAACTTCAACTCCCAGAATTTCTCAACCAACCACGCTGGCTAGGGAATTCTGAGAGTTGAAGTCCACAAGTCTTAAAGTTGCTGAGTTTGGAGACTCCTGGACTATACTTAACAATCCCTGTTTCAACTGTAAGTTCACTACATTCCATTTGAAAAACTTGTGCTCTCACGTATGACATTGAATTAAATCAATCCAAGTTCCTATTTTATGGGACCAGCATTTCTTGTCTATTTTTCCCTTCCCAATCTGCATATTAATGCCTTGAAATTTGTGTTTAGCAGATGACATGTCTTCATTTAGAAGACGTTTTGAGAAACAAGAAGTTTCACATAGGCAGCAGATGCGGTTCATTCTCCTTAAAAGGAAGTGGATTTTTTCAGTCCTACAAATCAAACAATAATAGCATTATGATTGCTCAAAAAAAAAGTTTGTGTTTTGAAAAGTATCTAAGGAACCCAAACACTTAGGGGAACTTGTCATTACTTCTGGGAGAGAAAGTATATGTGTTCACTGGGGAAGCCTCATGGGGAACGCAGCAATATAGAAAGATACTAGTTGAGCCAACCACAGATTTTCTTCTTTGATAATAGATTGGATCAGATTTTCAAAGATAAGTGCAAAGGTAAGTGTTTGTGAATAGAGTGAATAGACTGTCTTAATTTTTCAATATAATTTCAGGATGAAAAAAATACTTTAAAAGTTTTTTTTAGGTTCCAAAAGACCTTAGTTGTGCTGTTTGCAATTGTTCATGAAAGCCCATTTGAGAGAGACTTGTTTGATAGAATCTCAGATAAAACAATCATTTTCTTTTCATTCCAAGATGCTGGAATGATTTTTTGCACTTCACTGCTTGTGATGGCAAACATTCCATCCTGAAGTGCATCTGCAGAACTTCGTAGTGATTCATTGGGAATTTGTAGGAGATCGAGATATGGAATAAGTCAATATCAATATTTTGTGTATCCAAACACATATATTCGTCTTAAGTTTAAATTTTTTTATTTACTATGACTATTTCAATCCTGCTGAACTCCACATAATTCTGCTTATGGTCTATTGGTTTTAAGTTAGAGATTTTTCTTTTTGGATTCAAGTTAGACTATCCAAGTCCTTCCTTTAAATAACTTTGGGAGATGCCTATGATGGGATCTGTACATTTAGCCATATCATTTGTGTAAGTTGTCCTCCAATATTCAGTAGAATTAACTTCAGTAGAAATTAATTTGCAGGTGACCATTTATTCTCTTTTTATAAATAACAGAAACCCCTCAACATGGTACCGTGGCTTAAAAGGAAGTGGGAGATTTAGGAAATCTAGATTTATAGGAATAGATACAACTGGATATATATATTGCATCAAGCCATGGTTTGTTTTAAATAAGTAAATAAAGTACAATTGGGTTCTCTGTCTCTCTCTGTCTCTCTGTCTGTGTCTCTGTGTGCATGTGCATCTGTCTCTGTCTCTCTGTCTCTCTCTGATTCTCTCTCTCTCTCTCTCCATCTCTTCTCTCTCTTTCTTGTCTCTCTCTCTGTCTCTCTCTCCATTTGTCTCTCTCTTGTCTCTGTCTCTCTCTTCTCTCTCTACTTTCCCTGTCTCCGTCTGTCTATCTGTCTCTGTCTCTCTCTTGTCTCTGTCTCTGTCTCTCTCTCTCTCTGTGTCTCTTTGTTTTCTCTCTCTACACACTCACTCTGTCTCTCTCTGTGTGTCTCTCTGTGCATGCTGCACGTAGCAACCTTGTTTCCTCCTCACTTTTCTGCAATTACTGTATAACTAGGGTGAGAAATCAGAGGGTGTTACCACCAAGGAGATAAGTCCATCTTTCTATTGAACAGCAGCAGCAAACAAAGAGACAGATAATTTTTCCATTGGTGATTCTTTGTTTTCTCTTATGTTTTGCAGATGAGTCATCCTCTGATATGAATTATGTTCAACCACTCTTTTCTTGTGACCGAGTTCATCTTTGCTGGGTTTTCTGTACGGCCGCAATTGCAGGTGCTCCTCTTCGTTCTGGTTTTCTCCATGTATGGCATGTCCCTTGCTGGAAATACTATCATCACTACGGTGATCAGGCTCAATGTGGTCCTTCATACTCCCATGTACTTTTTCTTGACTAATCTGTCTCTCCTAGAAATATGCTACACCACCTCCATTGTTCCTAAGATGCTAGCAAGCTTGATGTCAGAGCAGGGGAAGAAGATAGCTCTCTGGGGTTGTGCTACTCAGATGTATTTCTTCACCTTGTTTGGAATAACAGAATGCTGTCTGCTTGCTGCCATGGCTTACGACCGCTATGTGGCAATCTGTAACCCTTTGCGTTATAGCATCATCATGAACCCAGCAGTCTGCATCCAGCTCTCTGTGGCCTCCTGGTCAGTAGGATTGGTGGTGGGGCTGGGTCAGACCAACTATGTCTTTAGCTTGACCTTCTGTGGCCCTAATAAGATCAACCACTTCTTCTGTGACATCCCCCCACTCTTGACGCTGGCTTGCGGTGACACCTCCAGAAATGTAATTGCTGTATACATGGTGGCTGTCCTTTTTATTACCACACCTTTCCTACTGATCCTGATCTCTTATATCTATATTGTCATCTCTATTCTGAAGATTTCATCTTCTGAGGGCCGTCGGAAAGCTTTCTCCACCTGTTCCTCTCACCTCATTGTGGTCTCACTATTTTACGGGTCAGGCATCATCACATACCTTCGGCCCAAATCCAGCTATTCAGCTGAGAGTGACAAACTGCTGGCCCTGTTCTACACAGTGGTGACATCCATGTTGAACCCCATAATCTACAGCTTGAGGAACAAGGAGGTTAAGGTGGCTTTGAGAAGAATGATGAGTAATAAACTATGCTCTGGAGAAGATCAAAAGTGATTGTTATTGGAATGGTTCCTTATCCTGTGAGGTCTATATAATTCTACTGTGAATGTTTTTTTCTGACCAAACTAGCTATCACCTACGTTGTTATGTGTTTGTGTCTCTGCTGAGACAAATATATAAATGCTGGTTGGTTGTTACTCCTTGACCAGATAAATAATCTGAATAATTGCAATCTAGAAACAGTGGAGTATCCTCAGTAAGTAGCCCCATCTAGTTAGATATCAGAGGATCTGCCTTGGTTAGCTTTTGGATGGAAAAGTATTGGAAGTCTCAAGACCATAGACTGGAAAATCAAAAAACAAATTTCCTGAAAGCAAGCAAGGATAAACCACTTCTATTTCACAATCAAGAAAGCACTATCTATTCATTTCAATGCTAGTTTTAATCTGGATTGAATTAATGTGATACCCAAAGGAGCTTTTTCAAGAGGCAACTGAACTTTCTGGTTTTCTTTAAAGATGTTTTGCTTCTCATCTAAGAAGCTTCTTCAGCTCTGACTGGATGGTGGGGAATAAAGGGGTTTATATTCCCTGCAGACAGCTGGTCATTTGCATTCTTTTAATAAGTTGTTAAGGTCACCTGAGTGGTGCAAATGGGTGTGGAGCCTTCTGGACCCTGATGAGACATAAACCTCCAGGTATCCTTAAGAACTTTCAGCTCAGCCACAGCTCAAAATCCAAGGAATGCTGATTGGCTGGGAAAAGATACTAGGAGGTGCAGAGTGCATACTGGGAAACAAGGATAGTCTAAGACAAAGTAACCCATTTCAGGTAGCCCTCAACCTATAGCTGTAGTGGAACCTGCTCATTATGGTTGTAAGTCATAATTTTGATTGTTCAACAGATCAGTCACACAACAGACGCAATTTTACAGTCTTTTTATGGTGATTGCACAGCAAACATCACGATTATTAAACGAACCCATTATTTAGTGGAAATGCTGCTTGTTGGCAAAACCATCATAAAAATGGCCACATATTGAAGTGGGCTCGAAAAGAATAATGTGAATTTGCAATTAAAGTCTAACAATGATATAATAATAATATAGTATGACATGGAAAGTTGATTAATAAAACATGAATACAAATTTAAATTCAAGAGGAAATAACTATTGATATTGTGCACAAGAAATATGTACCAACCAACACACTGTACAACCGAAAGAAGGTTTTATTTGTTGTTTTGTGTTTGTGTTTGTTTATGTTTATTGTTAAAAATAAAAAAAAATGTTGGAAAAAATAAAATAAAATAAAACAGGGCCACATGACCATGCGACGCTGCAAATAATAAATTCATCTCTGTTGCCAAGCACTTGAAGTGCATGCAATCACCTGACCATGGAAGGTTATGTCTGACAGGTGGAACTTTGGATCTGGGTCATAAAAAAACTTTTTTCAGGTTGATTATAACTTCAACCAGTCATTAAATTACTGGTTGAAAATCGAGGACCTTCTGAAAAAATAAGTGCAATTGATGGAATACTGCCTTTATGTTCTTTCAACAATCCCCCTCCACCTTGTTTTTGTAATCCAGCCCATGCTTTCATAATTGTCTTGTCGATCTCACTAGATTCATGATGTGCAGAATCCCAGAAAATATGTTCCTGTTGTATACATTACTCCCTTTTCCAAAAGTCCAGAAAGAGGGATTGTATCCCATGCTCTCTTAGTCTTTGACCCCAATAAACTAATTTGTGTTTCAGTGTCATTTTGTCCTGGTCTCTGGTTTAAAAGCTACATCTGGGGAAGTTCTTCTACAATCCATTTTATTTTACAGATAGTTTCTCATACCCATCACTTCCCATTTCCAAAAAAAAAAAAAAAAAAATTCATTATAAGTCTTCTATTATATATTCTATATACAATATAATATTATATATTATATTTTTTCTTTAATGAGATCAGCTACTCAAGACTTATGGCTTACTCCCTGTTGTTTTGCATGGAGATAAAAGATCTGGGTAACAATCCAGTGTAATCCAAACTACAAAGGACCAGCTGGAGAACTAGTCTAAAAGTGTAGATGTTCCTGATATCAATACACCACATTTCGGTAATCAGCGCACAGTTAATGCAAACACATCCTATGTGTTAAATAATGTCTCTGTCAGCGTTCAAATGAAATTTCTCATTTCATTCAGCACTCAGAAACAAAGTTCATTCAAGTAAGAATTTATTGAAGAAGTCATACTGGCACATCTGGGAAAAGCCAAATTGAGAGTTTCTAGTTTTTTCTTCCCAACTGAAATTCACAAACCCATCCCCTGCACCCACCAGTGCATCACATGGCCGAATCAAACACCTTCCCAACTGGAGGCATTCCTCCAGATATTTCTTCCCAGGTGCAGGGTAACTTGTCCTTGATTTTATGAGAAGAATGTTGTTGAGTCTAATCTACCACAACTCTATGCAATCCCCCCTCCCAAATTCCCAGGCACCAAAAATGTGGTGACTTCGAAGCTTCTAAATAAAATATGACTGCCAAAGCTGACATTCTCTTTTTTGTCACATAAAAATATTACAATTTAGGGTCAGCCTTTGAGTGGGCTTTGTATTCTCCAATCAAAGTTTGAGGGCATGAATGAATGAATAAATCTTCTTTCAAGTGGTTAATCGCGATTTTCCCAATGAGAATTATTAAAAGGGTGCATATCTATGTATCTGATGTAAGCCATGATGATGACATGGAGTCATCACATCAATAATATTATAATGCATATGTCACTTCCCTCCCCATAATGCAATTCTGCATTGGATTTTAATACATCTTTAATACAGCTTTCTTCTGAAAATTGGTAGAAAAATGCAACAATTTCTTAGTGTTTTCCTGCCAAGTGTGATCTCCAAGGGATGCAACCAAGGATCTTAGGTGCCCATCCCCATAATTTAGACCAAGTTGCATTCAAGGAACAGTCCCATCCTCACAATGGGGGTAATAATGCAATAGGGATGGAATTATAAAGTGTAAGGAAAGCTCACTTTTCTCTAATTGAACCCTGGAGAAGATCTATGAACCTTGAGCCATTTGGCTTAGGAGATACAATTATTCACTTAGCTGTACTTCTGAGGCTCTTAGAGGAAATGCTCCATTGTCAGAGGAAATGAATTTCTTGCCATTAAATTCATTAGTTTTAATTAGGCCTGCTGGGATTTGTTTACCAAGTTAAACAAACTTGCATCACTTACTTTTCTTTTGTTCTCCTTCTTGAGCAGTTGGATTTCATCAGCTGTAAAACTTTTATATGTCAATGCATTGGTTGAGAGGACACATTGCACTAAACCCTGATTTGTTAAATTGTGCTTGATTAATGCAACATAATTATTCACATTAAGTAGTAAACCAGGTCTGCAAATTATTATTAGAGATGGAGTCATACACTAAGCCACTGCTTCTCAACTTTGACAACTTGATGATAAGTGGACTTTAATTCTCAGAATTCCCCAGCCAGCCTTACCAAGGTTGACAAAGACTGCACTAAACCAATCCAAAACCAAATAACCTACATCATGTCTTAATACAGCTGTTTCCAATCTTTTGGGCTAATAGGAACATGTAAAAACTGGTGGATGCTATGGCAGGTGCAAGACATCAGGAGGCAGGATAATGCTCAAAAGTACTGCGGGTTTATTTCATGCTACCTATATACAAGAATCTGAACACAAGGCAAATTGGTAGCAAATAAGAGTCAATGGACTTCAAAGGGGCTAGATTTAGGTCTCTTAATGGCATAGAGCAAGGGTCTCCAACCCCAGGCCATGTTTGTTGTTTTATTTGCAACGGGTTGCGCAAGCACTGGGCCGGCATATATACTGTGTGCAACTCAACTTGCATGAGTGGTGGCCTGGCACACTTGTATATGTGCACACAGTTCAACTGTTTAGAGACTCCAAATTAATGGTGCATTTGACCCCACCCTCCAGCTCAACCTAGTCATCTACTACATCCTGTTACAAAATGGTCAAGATTTATGTCAGGCTCCAGAAACTAAGAAAGACATATTCTAAGCAGATTTCTTTATTCTTCCTTGCCTATAGGCAGAAATCTTGACAAATTAAAGCAGACTACCTGCAACATTAAAGTTACACCCTGGGAACTATTGAGGAGTTGTCTTAACTCTCTTTCTCCTACACTATCGAAACTGTGTTGTCCCTTGCTTTTCTGGAATGCATACCCTTCCTCTTGGAAATCTAGACAACATTCCATCACACTACCATAGTTGATTGCAATCATCCAGATGACTTCAAGATAACAGCAGGGTTGCCATTGAGAGGGCTTTTGGAATTTTGCATTCTAGATCTAATAACTCTTCCTTAGCATCCCTGTTAACTCCAAATCTAGACTCAACCATGTCTGGAGGAAGGGCAAAGAAAACCAAATTGCCAAAATGAAGCAAAGTGAAGAAGAGCAAGCTGTAAACTGAGTTCATGCTTCCCATTGACCTTTAGGGCGTATTTGATCTGGTATTTTCAGTTGAACTTATTTTTTTTGTTGCTAAATGAGACATTTGATAAGTGAGTTTTGCCCCATTTTACAACTTCTCCATATTCAAAATATAAAAGCAAGCCAGATATTCCCCTCAATGTGACTATACCTAACATGCATTGCATCTGTATGTCCTGGATATAGTACACCCAGATCTTTATTTTTGGCCATAAATAAAATCTGTTTCTTTTTGCATGCCTCGTCTTGAGTCTCACTGTTTTTGGCAATTTAAGTGATTTGGGGAAATTGTTGGTGTGTGAGCATTGCATACCAGAACAACCAGACACAAGAATAGTTTTTCCCCAAATGCCATCACTCTGCTAAACAAATAATTCCCTTAACACTCAAACAATCTACTAAGTCTGCATTACTATTACTATTCATCTTCTCATCCTTCCTTTCACCCATCTCCTCCCACTTACGACTGCATGAATGTAACTTAGTTGCTTGTATCCTTATGATTTTTTAAATTGACTGTTTATGCGTATACTTTGATTTGATCACTTATTATTATGTTTCCTAGTATGATTTGATTGCTTATTTGTACCCTTTGACTACTATTAAATGTTATACCTATAATTCTTGACAAATGTATTTTTTTTCTTTTTCTTTTTATGTACACTGAGAGCATTTGCACCAAAACAAATTCCTTGTGCGTCCAATCACACTCGGCCAATAAACAATTCTATTCTATTCTATTTGTTAAGTGACTCACTGCAATTAATAAGTTAGTAATCAGTTCTAAGTGAATCTGGCTTCCTATTGACTTTGCTTGTCAGATGTTCACAGAAGTTGATCACATGACCCCAGGACATGGCAAGCATAGGGGTGGGATTCTACCTGTTTGGACCAGTTCTACAGAACCTGTTGTTATGGTTCTGCGCAGTTCAGAGAACCAGCAAATCATGCTCCTGGCTGGCCCCGCCCCTCTCCGCCCACCCCTCCCCTCCCAGTCAGTCCTTATCATGCATGCCTGACATCACTGACTGCTTTCTTCCCCGCCCAGTCACTCCTTAAAGTATTTCTTTCCCCTCCCCTTCCTGACGACC